AAATAATGAATAGTGCCTTCAGTCTCAAGGTAGAAGACAATAAACAATGTCTTCGAATGGTAATTTTGACTTTTTCAAAATTAACCGACGAACTGTTAATGGCAGAGACCTATTAGACACATTTTAAAAATTTAGGATACTACAGAGACATGCTTGAAAGTTAGGGGACTAACTTGAGATAATCTCTAAAGTTCAAGGTATTGATAAGGAATTTTTCCTAAAAAAATGCGGTATCTTGTTGGATCTCCAATAGGATGGCACGTTCAAGCGTGTAATATATCATTTGATTCATTTCTATACCCTTGAACGTTGTTCAATTCTCAACTATTCTCACTCTTGTAATTCAGCAACTCATATTATGGTTAAATTTGGAATTTCTTTGATCACACCTCACACATGGACAGTTACTCCTTTTATTATTTCTCATGTTATTGAGACTGAACAATGTACCTAGCTTTGTTGAGTGAATTTACCTTAGTACTTAAAAAACATTTACTACAACACTATTGTTGCGCTGAGCTGAAACAACAAAAGGGTTGTTTAATTAGTAATGTGGATTTTTTTAATAAACGTTATTTACTATTTTTATCTTAAAAAATAAAAAATTGGTTGATAAACATTTATATGGTATTATTTGATAGTTAGGTGTCATTAAGTGCCACATAAGCTCAATAGTAAATAAACAGTTGAGTGTTGGAGAAAACATTAAAAATGGTGTTCCCCCAAGAGTTGGTTCTCACACAAACTAAGAAATGTTTATTTAATAAACCATCTTATCAAACACTATGAAAATAGCATTTTAGGATAAATACCTACATGGCAATGAGTTGGCACCATTTTTTAAGTAAACGGTCACAGAACCAAACACTAGGGGTGGTAACGAGCCAAGCTTTTCACAAGCTACTCGAGCTCGAGCCCAATTCATTGGCTCGATTATTAAACGAGCTGAGCTCGAGTATACTAGAGCTCGGCTCGTGAGCCGGTTCGAATATATATACATATAATATTTAATATATATATATATTTAATATATATAATAAAATATACTATAATTATTAATTTTTTAATATCAAATAAAAATATTTATATATAATTTTTTATTTTTATAAAATATTTTTTTCTCAAAATCAAGCTCGAACCGAGCCGAGCTCGAGCTTATGAATTGTTGACTCGAGTCGAGCTCAAGCTTAAGGTTCTAGCTCGAACTGAGGTTGAGCCTTGTAGAACAGTCTCGAACCGAGCTTAAGCCTGGTACTATTTGGCTCGTCTTGGCTCGAATCCACCCCTACCAAACACCACCAAAGTAGGTGTTTGACATCAATATCATTTCTTCAAAAAACAACGTTACATCAGTGTCACATTAGAAATCTGTTTTTGGAAAAACATCTACAGTTTGGTTAGCCGTTTTCCGAAAAACATTTTCTTGGACTACACCTTAGAAATTGGAAAATGTGTGGGCCGAGTGATCTATAAACATCCTATTTGTGGACTATATAAAGTGATCCCTCGAATCAGAAAAAAGAAACAATATAAAAATGCAGTAAGTAAAAAAGAAACAATCTAGAAATGCAGTAAATACCATAGATATAAGAGAGAATTAATATAGAAGACACTCAAGACACCAATTTTTTTTCATGGTTAAACCCCACACACGGGAAACATCCATGGCCATAACATGACAAAAATTTTCACTATCATAAACAAGAAGAAAATACAATAGTGTCAAGGAACAAAACCACTTACCTCTCTAACAGTACTAACCTCTCCAAAACCCCAAAAATTCCTCTTGTAATTTTTTTTCTTGCTCTTAAGTCCCCCTTGTTTTGGTATACCCCCCAAAACAAAAGAAAACAGGGGGGCGAGTTAGTTTCACTCACCGCCCAACAGATTAGGATGTGGTGGTTATGGGGCCCAACCAACTCCATGTCCCTCTTTCCCTGTTTCAATTTCGGATCATTGAGAAGGCACCCTTTTTGGTATTTTCATGTTTTTCTATTGTTGTTAACAATAATATGCTGATATGGCATTGAAAAACACCTACGTGGCAATAATACCAATGATACCAAATGAAAAAACATTTTATGAAAAAACAATATGTTTATGAAGCACTGTTTTTTAAAAAGAATACCTCTTAAAAAAACAACAATAATTCCAAACACCACCAAAATCAAAGCTTTGATTTAGAGATGTGATCCCACCTTGAATTAAATGGACACACATTTTGGTGGAGCCACAACGATAAATCAAATGCTTGATTTTTATTTTTTCAATCCTGTGGTACAATAAAATGGTATTAAGAGTAAATTCTATATATACAATACTGGTTTATTTGGGGGGTGGTGGGTTTTATATGAATTTGTACAATTGGACAAATCTATCCTAATTCATAAAGGGTATTATAGCATAAATGGAAGTTGGAACAATATGATAGCTATGATTATAACCCTAGCAAGTGCACTAGTTATCAAGTAGTATAAAAATATCATTCCCACGAGGATTTAATAAAATAAGTATTAGAACTACAGCATTCTCTAATTATTTGGACAATCGAATTTTAGATTTGAAGATAAAAACTAATGAAAAGCAGAAAAAGAAAACAAGAGCAGAAGTAACCAATGTTGAAGTATGTAATGATTGATTGAATTCGCTAGGGCTTTCGGTCCACCTAACCATTMCAATGAATATTAATGGATGAGATTATCCAAGATAATTTGTCATTCCCATAAGCTGAAGTCTTTCCAATTTTATTTAATATTCTCTCTCGAGATATACTAAAACTACTTYTATCAGGTAATCCCTCGATCTCTCGACTAGAGTTCTCAAGATAGAAGCGCATTAAGTCCAAGGAAAAACTATTATATTCAGATGAATCATGTGTATATACCCCTATATACCATTCAATTCACACAATGAATTATGTAGTCAGTTATGTGAGTTCTTCTCTCGATTCATTCACATACGCCTGATCAATTAAGAGATGGTCACTCCTAATAGCATTAAGCAAGATAATTCATAGACTACATGGAAAATCACGATCTTGAATAAATCARAATAAAAATATATTCATTGATATGATTAGGCTTTCCAYAACCCTAACTAYAGATAAATTAGTTCATACTAGCAGAAATAAAAYAAACAAGAGGAAAGAAAGAACTCATGGTTTCGCCSTTGGAGTTGAGATCTCCTCTTCTCCTTGCCGCCACCTCCTTCTTGCAGACTTTTTGCTTGATAGCTGGATTGCTCCTCTGCTTCTTGATTATCTCTCTAGTCCGCCCCCTATCCCTTTATATAGCTTAAGGGGAGGGGGTGGTCTCCTACTCTTTCTTGAAGTTAATCTCTCAAAAATAGAAAGTCCTACTCTAATCCTACTCTTATCTCTTTATCTAATGAACTCAATCTCTTTATCTTTATGGGATTACATTATGAATTTAGATCTGATAAGACTCTTCTCAGTTTCTTGTTCTTAGAGTCGTATTAGACCTCCTCTGTGAATTGGGCTGCTGCCAGGCTTTTCTGCAAGTTGGGCTTAAGCTGCGGATTGGACCTTTTTATGAATTTTCCTTGACTTCGGGCCCGGATTTGACTTCGATGCAGGCCGAATCTACAAAATCCCAAAACATGAAAGTTGTGGCTTTTTCTCTTATCTATCCATTGGGTCTTGAATCATCACAATCGGAGTTCGGATACGCAAGTTAGGCCCAGATTACTGAATGGTGCCGAAACTGTGAAAAATCATCCGATTTGCCTTTCTTTGCTCCTGATGCCTTCTTTCATGCCCTGAACCGAAATACAAGAAATATGAGTCCAATTAAGTACTAATTAAATATACAAGACATAATATTTGAAGATACAAATGTGATAAATTCTACTCTCATCACAATACATTGAAAACCCAATAAAATTTTGTGATATAGGACAGAAATTGGCACAGTAGGTGAGTGGATCCCCCCATTCTCTTGGTTATCTCTCCGTAACCAATCCACTAATAATCCATTCATCTATTTTAATCCATAAACAGATTTCTCGATTTCATGGAGAAAAATCAACTATTCCACGTGGCAGACTTGTAGTGTTAGGCTAAAATTATGGTTTTTAAAATCGATTCGTAGACTGAGTTGGTCAGGAGTCTGGTTACTGGGTTGAATGTTTGACCATTCGAATCAAACGGTTGGTCTATTTCGACAAAAGAAAATTAAAAAAACTAAAAAATTAAAAATGGTCAAAATCATTCGAAACGATTCGAACAATTAATTACCCGAATCAGCATTGACCAAAATCAATGATTTTTGAAGAAAATCCAATTTAAAAAAAAAAACGGAAAACTGTAAAATCATATCATGCATTATTATAGATTCACTTTACCTTACAAACTCCAATTCAAGGTAGAGCCACATCAATATATGAAGAGTCGTGACTCGTGAACTCGTGATGCATGGTTTTAGCCCAACGCTACTCCATCGCGAGCATACGATTTTTCACTTTTTAACAATTTGGGAGCTGAAAAAAGAAAATAAAAAACACACACACACAACCCGCTGCACAGCATGATGGTGCATGCCAAATGGATAGGGGCCCACGTCATCGCTATAAGATGGTAAATGTGATTCCATCATCTATCACTCATAAAAAAGAAATAGAGAAAAGAAAAGTGGCGTGGCCAATTGCCACTTCAACCACGTAATGAGTCGACGTGTATTGTCCATAACCGACGATGCCACGACGCCTCGTCAGGAGAAATTAATTACTATATATATATATATAACGAGAAAAAGGAGAGAAAGTCGCGAGATTATGGTTTCAAACCAACTGTGAAAATCGTCAATCAAATAAAAACCACAAATAAACAAACTAAATATTTATTCCTACTTCTCGTAATCTCTCGAGCTTTTTAACTTGTGATTAGGATGATAGAGCGGAAAATACATTTATTTATTCACATATCTATATAATATACACGTTAGACAACAAAAAAAAAAGAAAAAGCAGGGATACAAATATTAACAAATAAAAATAAAAGAAAATAAGAAAAGTATAGGGAATCGAAAGCCAGAACCATCTAGGGTTTGGGTTTCCCTTGAATCTCTACTTCTTTGTAGATCAATCTCTTTATCCTTCTCCCTATCTGCACTTCGTTTTCCTAGAAAAAGATCGGAACCAGTGAGAAGATTAGGGCTTTTATTCACATTAAATTGTTAATACTTTGAATCGAAATAGTAGAATAAGGCTTTTGAATCTCATCGATCCGTCGTAAAATATCGTCCTTGATTACATTTAGTTTGTTGACAATCGAAGCGGGAACAAGTGCGGGATTTTTTTCTGTTAATATGCGGGGAACGCAGAAATCAAAAAGGGTATCTTGGGCTCCAGATGTAAACCTTTGTCAGGTAAAATGCGATATCTTCATCAAAATGTTTATTTGGAGAAATACTTTAATGCGTGTATGGTTGATTTTGAGTGTGTCTTATGTGTTCAATTCCAGTTATCATTGTTGCACAAAAGAACTATTACAGGTCCCTTGGCGTTTCAATGAAGAAGTCTATCTTCTTTCTCAATACAATAATTCAAATATGAATTTTCCCTGCGTTTTAGCGAGGATTATAGCTTTATCGGTGTTGTTTGATTTGTACCTTTCTCCGAAGCTAGATTTTTTTGTCCTCCTACTACCATTTCTCTCTCTTTTATGACTTTCAAATTTTTTATACAAGAATTAAAGATTCGGTACCTCCTAGAAAATCCTAGTTTTTATTGTTTAAGAGCCTTTTCTTCTTAATTCTCCTCCCCATCTGTTTTTTTTAGTTTTCCTTTGCTTTTCAAAGAACTGTCAACTGTACGAGTCATTTTTCTCCTCCCAAGAATCGGTCGTCAGATATTTTTATCATCATTACATTGTCTCAGTGGTTCTTCCAAATTGCTGTGTCTTCTCTTTCCTCAATGGAAGATTCAAATTTTGCTGAACATTAAGCCAAAGAAGTTCGAATATCTTTCTGTATTCAATTTTAATGTCGTTGGAAACAATTGTTAAAGAGTAGAGAGATATGATGGAAAAGAATTTTGGGGATCTAATATGACTGGTAGCCTAATTAAGGCTAAACGTATTGAGGTTTTGGAACAGCAGAAAAATATGGCTAATGAAGATGTTTAATTGCTACTTTTGTAAGTTAATAAGAAAGGAAGAATGGGAGATTTGGCTGAAAATATTGATGCTTTGCACTGAAAGGCTGAACTATTATGGTTGCTGAAGATCTTTAACAACCACTTTTAATGTGTTAACAACAATGGGAAGTGGAAGCCTAGGCTGAAATGCTGAGGCTATGAACTGGAACAACAGAAAATCTATGGCTAATGGAAATGTTTAACCGTTGATTTTTTGTAAGTTAAGAAACCATTACATTCATTGCCACTATCAGTAAGTAACAGCAGAAAAAAGAAACGATGGTGTATGATGGGATTAGATGCTTTAAAAGTATTATCAGAACCACTCTTATGCTGAGCTAATGCCCAGGAGATACCATGATACAATTCGAAGCAAGCCTAAGCTTATTATTTATACAGTTAAGCTGAACATCATAAAATGAAGAAAGCAAAATATTGGAAATATCATTTACACATCAACCTCTAAAGTATTGCTGCTTGATTAGTTAAGCAGTGTTTAAGAAACTGAGGTTAGAAGTGCAAAATATGTATGCATATGAAAGCGCATTTTCAATGGACAGATTTAAAACTCAATTTTAACAACCGTTCTGAAACTTTGAGCTGAAATTGATGTAGAGATTGTATATGCTATCAATTTGATAATTGATATCAGGAGCAGCTATTTTAATTCTTAGATATGTAAATTGGAGCTCAATCTCTGAGAAAACTGGGGGACACCAGATTTGGATCTTGCATGGATAACTAAATAAAAAACTATGGAATCAAAGTGGAATCTAACCAAGGGTCCTGTCAATTACTTGATGAGATGCTGTAAACACAAAAATGTGGCCATAGTTGATGATATTCTTCGTATCACCTGATGCCCTTTCCTTTACGACAACTCTATCATATATCCAAATTCGAGATTATTATAGGGATGCCTTGGAGGATGGTGGCTTTCAGACAAGAGAAGTCAAAGAAATCACTCAACATGTGTCAATCAACATTTTAAAAAGCAGAGCATAACCAGGTCCTTTAGATGCTTGAGTTTAAGTTTTGTTTGATAACTAATATTGGAATAAATACAGAAATGTGCATAAAAAGAATATGTTTTTGTATATATTACCACATTTAAAAGCACTTGTGCATAGCAGTTACATGAATAGTTGCAGAACTCACAGATTTCAATTTCAACAATTGGTTGAAAAGTAATTACTAAAGAAAGATGATATTTTTATTAATTTATGAAGCTTTTAACTCTTTTTTTTTACGTGAACCATTTGAACTCATGATAAAATTCTTAATGTCAAGTAAACATAAATGTAATGTATTTTTTGATGAATGATTAAAAATGCCATATTGCATTCCTGTAAACCCTTCCACTCATTTGATAAAGTTCTTAGTGGAAAGTGAAACTTCAAAAGTGTTTTAAAAACCCTAAATATGTCGAGTATAACAAATTAAGTGTTGGTCTAAAAAATATAAACTCACAAAAGTTGAAAACTTGCAATTTATCTTTAATTCAATTTGGTTATGAGAAGCTTACATCAATTAATGATTGAGACATGAGTCCTTAACATAAGACATCTCAAAATGTGAGCCATGTATCTTATACCTCAGGCATTAGCCTCTAGGTTGAACTTCAGGGCATTTTTCTCTGAAGCTGCCTCTAGTTCTAAACTTCACGTACCTGAATGACTATAATTGCGATTGCAATGCTAGTTCAGATACTGAAATTTTCTTGCACATCTTGTGTGATACTTGCATAAAATAGGGACATAGATGCTCAACCATGTTAAAAAAAGAATTCCATATCTAAAGCTAATAAATAATAAAAAGCTTCATTGCATGGGTATAGCTATGAATGTCATAGTTCTAAAAAGCATTCAACTAATCCAAGTTGGAACAAAGCTTCATGGACAACTGCACTAATTAGCTAGCTAAAGAAATTAATTTTATTTATATAATAATTGGATGATAAAACATTATTTTAAAATGTGCCTTAATCTAACTACAGATGCTTATGTCTGTGAACACAAGATTGCCTTTTCTATACTAGAACTACTTGGAGGTGTTTGAAATCTAAACCTGTGGTTAGTTGTCTTTTAAACTATATATGTGGGTGGCAATTAAACTACAAAGAAATATAGAGGCCTTACATTTGATCCATGGAGTTTTGCAATGGGCACCTTATGGACTTTGACTAATTTGCCATTTCATGAATTCATGCACAGAGGTGTAGGTATCTGTCAATGCAGGCATTTCATTTGTCCTCTAATGCAAGACTGCAAGAGCACCTGCATTAATGATTCCAGTGTGTCCCAATCGAGTACCCAACTTATTTGCATTGGCCAGGCATAGTGGAAGCCAGATGAGTCCATTGCAGTATTTGACTCTATCTAACCTGATGAAGGCCACTTGAAAGCGGATTGGAGGATCTGCGTTCCTGTTGGCATCATCCTTTTTGGAGCTTCTTTTAGACGTTGGTTACTTGACTATATGGAAATATACTTTTCATTGTTCCTTTTGCATTTTAAATGCTTAATTCTCAGGATGATGCTCTTTTAGTTTGCTCCAGATTTTTCAGTTACTCAGCAGTTCTACTTAAGATTTGTGCTTCAAGCTTGCTTTTGTGATTCCTGGCCCATTGATAAAACTTGTACATCTTTGTAGAGAATAAAAACTGATAGCTGGCATCATCTGTTTTACATTCAATAAGTTTGTCTGATCTTTTATAGTTCTTGAAATATATTATTATCTGGTTGAGCTTTTCAGCTTGTTGATATTGTCTTGACTGTATTTTCCGGCATATGGCTATTTCATAGAGAGATTGCATTTTGGTTGCTCTAGTTGAATTTATTGTAGCCAGAGAAAATTCTGCTTTTCTGGGATTCAGTTGTGACGTATCAATCAGGAAAAGGAGGGTTGTGACATTGCCATTATTGGGATGTTTACTTTGGGTGTAGATCATTGAAAAGATCTGTGACAGGTTTTTTATCCATAGTTGGCCAATGCATTTCATCTGAAACATAGTTTAGTGGGCTACCTTTTGTTCTTCACATATCAGTTATTTACTGTTTTTGGTTTATTAAATGATGAACTGGTGCTTAATGGTTACAAAGGGGAGAAAGAAAGAAGTTACAATAGTCCCATAGATTGCAGTAACAGTTTGTATCAAAGAGCTGAATTTTGATATATGAAGCTAAGTAGAACCTCTATTTTATTGTTGGCTCCGTGACATGATGTTTAACGGTGATATTCATAGAAAGACAAAAGGACATATCATTCACTCCTTGGATTTTTTTGAAAGATACTCTCGGCACTTATTGTATTTGTATTATTTGATCACATTTGAATAATATGGTGCTTATGTCCAAAAGACTAGACAAGGTTTATGCACCAAGATGAATGACTTGCCCAATTCATTGGCCCATAGACATTCCACGGAGGAGTCTCTATTTGTTAGCATATTTTGTTAAGAAAATTCGTGAGGAGGATAATGAAATTTCTATAGATTATGATATTATTTTCTCAGATTCTAGAAGTTTGGTACTATTAGTGCTACTTAGTTTCTTACTTTCAAAACATGAAAAAAGAAGATATCCCACTCCAATTCACCTTATTTAAAAAGGCCATACCCAATGTTGATCCCAGTTATCTGGGGTTTTGAGAGGGATGGACTGGATACAGTCCTAACATTTGGCATTTTTGGCACAAAGTGACTGCTCTTGAACTCAAACCTGTGTTCTCGCACTTTACAAGCCAGGAAATTCACCCAATTAGATTAGCAACTTGGCTTTTTAGTATTTGGGCAAACCCTATTGAGGATATCATGCAAAAATTCTCTTAATTACATTACTAGGAGCAGAGAAAACCTTTTGATAAATAAACGAGGTAGACTAAATAAATTATAACTATATAATTTTCAGTGCATTCCCTCCTTAGTTTGAGAGAAACCAGATGGAATAAACAAATAAATAACCCTTTTTTAAATATTACTTAAAGTAGGGAATGTAATCAGCGAAGTTTCAGAAATAAGGATGTAGATGGTTTTTCTCACTGCATAGATTCAAAAGTTAATGGTGCAAGGAACCATAATCAGCCAAATTTCATGAACAAGGCTGTAGATGGTTTTCTCCCGTGAGTAGAATTAAGTTTCTTCATGCAGAAGGCAAATAGGAAAAAAAAAAGAGGAGAGTATAAGAGAGCAGAAGAAAGGGGAAACATGAAACTCTTTGTAGAGAAGGTTGCAGAGATACAATGGTGAAGAATGGAGGAGGATCATCTTCTTCTTCCTTAGTTCTCTACACCCCTTCTCTCTTCTCTCTCTTTGTTTTCTCTCTCTTATTGCTGGAACTTCTTTCTTCTTACTTCAGATTACCACTATAGCTGGGTTACTTGCTATCTACAAATCATTTATTTATATGTGCATAGAATTAGAAATGATCTCCCATAATGTTCCTTTGTACAATCAAACTTGAGGTTGTTGAAAACAAGGTGACAAATGATGCATCGAGACATCCAGACTGTTCATATTTCATGAAAGTATGACTAATTCAGTTGAATGGTTCATCAGTTTAAATTACTAAGTGAGGCCTTAGGAGATGCAAGGAGTTCTGATGCTTTGGAGGCTTTGAGGTTTCCCTAAATGGAACTTACTAGATGAGATCCAAGGAGATAAAGCTCTGACAGACAAGCAACTTTAAACTTTTAAGTTTAATTGATACTACAGAAGTACAGATTTGAGATGGTTGCATATGCCTGGGACAAACACTACACTTATCTGCTTATCAAATTGATAGGGGATTAAATATGCTGTTATTATGGTCAAGCACAACTTTAAGGCATCAAACAATTAGTTTCTAAAGGTTGAGCTAAACTTGTGGTGCTATTGTATAAATACTGTTATGGAAATCAATTTTCTCCATCTTTTAGTCTCCTTTTAACATTTTTTTTGGGTGCATTTGTCATTGTGGTTAAATTGATTTTGTTGCTGTCCAGCAGAAGGGTCTATTGCTTGGTATAATGGTAAAATCTTGGGCTGGCAAGCCTCAGAATGAAGGTTTGTGTCTGAGAGCGGTCACTTATGCAAAAATGCCAAAGGTTAGGTCTGTACATGGATGAAGAGTCTATAATGAGAAACATGAGATGCTTTGTGATGATATTACCACATCACCATAGTAGGTAAAAATAAAATGAATTCCCAGGTGTTCTTGTTGCCACTGGTTTGCCATAGTTGCAAATCTTTTTGTTGCCTTTAACAGATTGACTGCTGGAGCAGAAATTTTGGGTTGGGTAGCTTGGGGTTTTGGTTTGGATTTGTGGGGTAAATTTATCTTGTAGTATATTAATTAGAACATGGTATAAGAGGAGGTAAAGAGGCAGAAGTGTCTTGGCTTCAAGCACATGGAGGATGGTGTTGGGTTATGTTAATGGATATTTTATTTTTTTATGTTTCCTTCCACATATCCTATGTATTATATTGTGAATCTTTGATATTATAGGTGTTTGAATTTAGACATTTAATTGCATATGGCAATTCATCAGTCTGTAATTGTATTCAGAAATTGATGTGTTGTCTAGTTGGGGGAAGGGGGGATCTTGGAAGGCTTGTAAAAGTAAATCATTTCATTTTGGTTTCTTCATAACCTTTGGGTGTTAAAAGTTCACCAGCCAAATTTGGGATAGGGGGAGTTATTCGGAATCATCAAGGAGAAGTTGTGGCACTATTCTCTGGACCAATTGGGTTTGAAGACTCAATTCAGGCTGAAACCCAGGCTCTTACAAGGTTTGAAACTTGCTGAGCAGATAGGAGTAAGAGAGCTGGAAATTGAAGGGGATTCACTATTAGTTGTAAATTGGGCAAAACAAATAGATTTAGCACCTTGAAAGCTCAGGTTCATCTCCAGAAAAATTGGTTTACTAGCAAGAAAATTCAGTTTCAGCTTTGATTGGGTCAAAAGGGAAGCAAATAGCATGGTGGATACTCTAGAAAAGCAGGGAGCTGATAGACCCACCTTATTTTGGGAAATTCTGTAATATGTTGTAACCTGGGTCATTTAAAGATGATTTGCCTTGTACTCTCACAGTAACTTTTAATTAAATAAAGGAATTTATTTACTGATAAAAAAAGTTCACCAACCAAATTCTAGTAACAAGTTGAAAGGAGTTTATGTGTTGAAATTCTAAAATGATCTCAGTTTTATTGACATTCATGTTATGACTCAGTTTTAGATGATGAAATTATGTACAAAGTGATGTGAACGATCAAAGGGTAAATGATCTTGGAACTATCTGTAGTATATTATTACTAGTATAATTTCTACTCTTATCTGTTAATATATAATAAAACATTTACTTTTGGTGAAGGGGACAGACTTTATTGGCTAACAAATTACAGAAAATCTTTTTTCCCTTTGGTGTGTGTGCCTTTTATTGTTTTTTTTTTCTTTCTTTCTTCCTTGTTTCTTTTTTTTTTGGGGTGAATCCTTAAACCCCAAAGATAACAGTGCATGAAAGATCTGGCTCATGAAAGCAAGAAACAGGTAAAACTAAAGGGTTCAACTATGATACCGGTAAAACTTATCCAATCAACTGGTATCATAAAAGAGGTGACCGATCAGGTGGTGTTCATCACTATTCACGGGGGTGCTTTGATTGGTCAAAGCTCTTCCACTACCATGTCTTTCCAGTATAATAGATTTTCCCAAAACTAAATGCTCCATCTCTGAAACCCTTTCTTGATTGGAAGGTTTCATGAAATGGGAAACCTCCATTGCATCATCATTCCTGTGGCACAATTATCCATTAGTTGATTACTCTCTTCATGTTGATGTGTAGTCACCAAGGTTCAAAATTTCGATACGGTACACCCCGTATCGGGTGTATCATATCATATCAGGGGCTTAACGATATGCCCCTACAGGGTTCATATCGGGGTGCGACCTGGTTCACGGGGTAGACCAGCCTTAGACTGACCCCTCTGAACCAGTTTCAAAGAAAAAAAAGGGTGGGCGAGCTTCGATACAGGCTGATATGCCCCTACCGGCGTATTGGCCTGTATCGATATTTTAAACCTTGGTATTCACTCAAATTGTTGAAATAACCTTCTTAATTGCCTTTTAGTTAGACTGTAGCATCTATTTTCCTTGTCATTGGTGTTGATGGATTCAATAGGGCTTCTGTGGTGATCTTTGTAATGACTTTAACATCCAAAACTGAAGAACACCTACAAAGACATGTCTGGTCATGTTTCCTTTTCTAATTTTAGAAAGGCTTTAACTGCCACTGATACCTTGGTCCTGGATGTTGTACCGATAATGGTAAGCCCGATGATCAGCCTCAATCTATGTGGAAACCATGCATCTATTTTAAATTTTAAAATCGAGCAGCATCATTATTGAGGCACTGAAGAAGAGGATCACCTGCAATAGAAAATCCTATGAATCTCTTGAGTTGTGATCCTTCTGTAAAATGCTGAAT